GTATATCATGCAAGGCATGATCATCATTATCATCATTATAGTGTACGCATCCATACTCATCATCATAAATGAGGAAGTAACCTGATGTATATGAACACACAATATGCATGAAGTCCATGTAGTTTTTATCTTTAAATCATTCTTATGACACAACCCTATGCATCTTTCACACATTACCCTAGGTAACATGTATGCATTGGCCTTCATACGTTCATCATCATTTACATCAATTAAGGTTGTGCCTTAGAAAACTTATTGTCATAATGTTTCATGACATTTAATACATGCACATCATCTTAATATGAAAGATCATCATATTAAGTCATCTCATCATCATGCATCTTATATCATCATGTTATTAGGCATCATATCATCATGTTATTATGCATCATCATCAGATCATCATATTAAGTCATCTCATCATCATGTATCTTATATCATCATGTTATTAGGCATCATATCATCATGTTATTATGCATCACCATCATCATCATCATCATCATCATCATCATCATCATCATCATCATCATCATCATCATCCATCTTATATCAAGGCTACCATTAGTTCGTGGCCGTGAAAAAGTACTTCGTTGGGTATGACCAATGCCTAGTTTCTTTGAGATTCAACTGTTCATAGGCGAGTGGGAGAGATATTGCAACACAACCATTGATGAACAACTTAGCGAAACAATAAACAACATTTAGTTATCAATTACGTTTGGATTAAGAGAGGGAGATGGAACCATAACTTCGGTTAGTTCCATCCAACTTGATTTCTATTCTTCAATTGGCATTATTAAATACATAAAGGTTCCAAATCTAAAACGAAATATCATTGTCTCTCACTAGTTTTCAAGCAATATACATAAAAAAAAGAAAAGAAAGCAAGGGCATCATGAGTACGATCCAATCAAGTTTCTTGATTGCTACAATTTTGATGCTATTATTGTTAGATTTTACCGTCGATGCTCAATCTAGTGCCGATGTTGTTTTTCCTTTGAAAAAATATGGTAACATAGTGTCTGGTACTGACATCACGAAGGTAAATATACAGTATGAACAACAATATTATCACTAGTTGAGTTGATCAATTGTTTGCTAATTTTTGTTACTTGTGACATGTAGGCTTTAGCAAATGCATGGAAGGATGCATGCACGTCCAATCGTTCTAGTGCGATTGTTATTCCAGGAGGGATATTTAAAGTAAAGGAAGGGATATTTAAAGGACCTTGTAATAGCCCAATTGACTTTCAACTTGGAGGAACATTGCAGGCACAAAAAGTCTTCAGGGAGATAATTGGATTACTTTTGAACATATTGATAGATTGACATTATCAGGTGAAGGAGTTTTTGATGGCCAAGGAAAGGCAGCTTGGAAAAAGAATGATTGCCATAAACGCATAAATTGTGCCCAACTCCCCATTGTAAGCAATATGCCTTCAGCTTTCCTTCTCAATCTCGTGCATCTTGTTGTTTTTAGACATCTTCTCTAATCTTCTAACATTTATAATTTGGTAAACATTCTTCATTTTCTAGAGGATTATCTTTAACCATTCTAACAAAAA